ATCAATAAATGCAAACCTGTTTCTGACAGCAATGTAAATTCATACACACACAATTATTATTTAGTTACTCTACTAGGAGGGAGAAGATCAAACTAACTTTAAATATTTACAAGCTCAAACAAAGAATTTAACTATAAGTTATAGGAACACCTGAATCCAGGAGGAGAGAGGAAGAGACTTTGGACTGCAGTTACTCTGCAATTAATGAATTACAATATAATATTTGAGTATATTTCTCACCTTTTTCTTGTGACGGTCTAAAAAAGTTGGTAAATATGTCACTTTTTAGAAATAAAGATGCTAAGAGGTTCTAAAAAGTTTCTAATTCTTGAGGGAAAATCGCCACGTTGGCGATGAGTGATTGTGTAAATGCATGTGTGACGTAGCGTAGAGCTCGTCCCGGTGCCACCGCATATTTTTCGTACATCCATGGGTTTTTGAGCGATTTCTGAAGGGAAGCACCCCAGAAAAAGTTTAAGAACCACTGCACTAAACCAGTACTAATATATAAAAAAATAACCTGCAGGTTAGTCGATTATGAAAATAAACCCACATGCTGCATAATCCAATCTCCATCCAGTCCTAAAATAGTATTTTTCTAACTTGATGCTTCACAAACGTGGCTTAATGTCGTAATAACTTGAATGGCCGCTGAGACTCACAATGTGATTTAATGACCAACGGTTGTATAACCTCTAAGATGCTAAAAAGGGACGCACTATAATTAATTCTCTAAATGTAATTAGAAAGTTGAGCATGGAAGTCCATTCACTGATTAGACTGTATTTTAGTGCGGTTACTATCCTCCAGGTAGTCTGCTTCAATGTGTGTCTTCAGCTCTTTACTTACCACTCCTCCTCCTCCTCCCGTCCTTCAGAACATTGTAGCAGTTGGGGCAGGTTTCTGTGACGGTCTGGGCTTCGGGGACAACACGAAGGCAGCGGTGATCAGGTTGGGCCTGATGGAGATGATTGCCTTCGCCCGGATTTTCTGCACCGCCGGGCCCGTGTCCTCCGCGACCTTCCTGGAGAGCTGCGGCGTGGCCGACCTCATCACAACCTGCTACGGCGGCCGCAACCGCAAAGTAGCCGAAGCCTTTGTGAAGACGGGGAAGGTGAGAGCCTTGATTTTCAAACACTGCAACACTTTTGAGATGATAAAATGTGTCTAACAGCCAAAGCTGAGGATCGCTTTTGGTTTGTTGACAAACTGTAGAAAAGGTCAGACTGTGCACACAATCAGTGATCTATGGTGGTAAAAGAGGTAGATCATTAAACCAGGGATGCTACACCGACTAACTCATCAACTGATGGATCACAAGTTTCATTGAAGAGCTAAAAACAAATAATAAAGCATTACTTCTATCTTATCTTTATCTTTACATATCCTAACTGAAGCATTATGTTTCAGTGTTTGACCGCAGCCTCTAAAATCTTATTATAGACCTCAGACTGGATATAACCTTTATTTTTATTGTAGCTTTCAAAGACAAAGTGCCTAACAATAAAAACATAAAATCTAAAAGATCAAATAATTTAAATGACTATTACAGAGTGTTACAGATACATATATAACTTAAAATAATAAATCACATTTTACCTACAGTCACCACAAAACATAAGAAAATAGAACTAAATCATGTATAAGTCATATAATTTGAACAGTTCACCTTTTACATACTGTAGCTAACAGTACAGATAATGTTTCTTGAGATGAGCTAATACAGTATAACCAGGTAATATGAATTTAAACGGATTTAAAAAGGGCAAACCTGTGGTGAATTAGGCTAATTTAGCAGTCTTACTAAAAGTTACTTTCACATTCAGTGAAACTATAAAAATGGGTTCTAATGAACATTAAATACAATATGAGACAAAATACTGACAATATCAGTCAATATCATGATGACTGGCCTTACTGCCCAATCTGTACGTGTGCAAAGAGAGCGAGATAGATCACTTTACCTACTTTAGTCATCAGCGCTGATGCATTTAATTCAGAATGTTATTAAGACTTTTTAGTATATATGGTGACTTTTACATGTACGACACATCTATAAGCCTATAAGTGTGAGACATACATGGACCAGACTCCAGCGACAAGAGTTTTCAGATAAGTTTTGTTAAGTTATTATCATTTCCTTTTCTAATACTGAGAAGAACACAAGGATTCTTTTTTTTTTTTACAGAAAAGAATAAAATGATTAGCCGTAACAGTTTTTTTTTTTCTCAGAGCTGATTATGGAAGTAGCTAACGAGATGTAACAAACACACAGCAACCAACATACAGCCAATCATAATGTGTTAACGTGTTACAGCATCTGTAAACACAGGACCCTGGCATTACTCTTTCAAAATAAAAGCTTCAACCTTTTTATATCATAACTAAAGGGACAAATAATTACTCGGCCTCTAGAAAATACTATTTATAGGAATTAACATGAACATCGACAAACTATTCAAACATGCTGGATCATATCAATGTGTCATTTGGAGTCTGCCACACACTGAAATGTGTATATGTGTGTGACACATTGTTGTGTTTGTTCTCTTGCTCAGTCCATTGAGGAGCTAGAGAAAGAGATGCTGAATGGTCAGAAGCTGCAGGGACCAGCAACAGCAGCTGAGGTCTATCTCATCCTCAAGCACAAAAACCTCATTGAAAAGTAAGTAAACACGACACACAGAATCGTAGCACTGTTTCCATGTGCTCTCAATCATCCAGCATTGTTCACAACAACACCTCCTCCTCCTTCCTCCAGGTTCCCACTGTTCAATGCTGTGTATCAGATCTGCTATCAGGGCCATCCAGTCACAGAGTTCATAAGCTGCTTGCAGAACCACCCAGAGCACATGTAAAAAACAGCAAACTGACCAAGTGCCTTCTGAATGAAGAACTTTTCATCTGTTACCTGTCAGAAATGGATCGGGGCTGAGAAGTCACTCCACAGCTGTCATGCAACTAAAAGTCTCCAGCCAGCGAGTGGAGAAGGTTGCATCACATTTGTGTGATTTCGGTTCCTGTTCAGCCACTTTTTGTCCTTAACTTTCAATATCTGGCATATTCTTTTTAAAATGCTAATTGTTTGTGGGGATTTATTTCCCCATGTCATGGTCAGATAGCTCTTTTTGCCTGAGATTTGTTTGTTTTTTTCAAGCCAGATGAAATCAGAATGCATGGTGTCACTTTGTAGACAGCAGCCAAATTAAAAAACACTGATACAGGAATCCAGACTTTACTGGATGTCAGAATGATTCATAATTCGATACGAATTTTAGAAAACGTTTGTTTTTTTTGACTGCCGTTCAGTTACTAACGTGTTTGTACAATGTTTATATGACACTACATCATGCGTTCAGATTTTGACGGGGCCAACCACTCAGGGCAAAGACCTACTGACGGCCTTCTGTAGAGGGAATTATAGTAATCTAATGTTTATGTTGCCGTCCAGTGAATGCCTGTCCTTCACCACAAGTTGTTTTTTTAATCATAGATGTAATACCTCATTTTCTTTACGTCTTTGTATTCTCTAAAGTGTCTTACGTAATTCACTATAATATTTCCTGTCTTGTACTGTATATTCAACATACTGTCGAACGCACAGCAACTGTTTTTAACATTTATAAATGCAAGTGCCTTAGATTGCACGGTTGCTAAGTCTTGGCCATTTGTCGTCCTTTTTTTTTTTTTTTTTGTCAAACCAAAGACTTAACAACATCCGTCCACTATGCCATTTGTTATTGTGACTCTGCCTGATCTTGTTTCCAGTGTTATGACTAATGTGTTTTTGGAAATTATGTCTGTGAATAAATTAATTCAGTCATCAAATCACTCCTGGAATCATTTTTCATTAGAAAGAAAACCATCTCTATTATTTCTACTGCACAGTGGGAATCTTGGTTGGAAGAAATACTGCCAGAATATTCTGTTTTTAAAGAGTAAATCAATTAAATTGTACTATTTTCCTATTTTAGTTGTGACATTTGTAATTTTTTATTCTAGGTACATAACTATATAGATCTATCTAGACTTATAAATTGATCCCTGTGGAGTGTTTTTTTTTGTTTTGTTTTTTTTTATCCCTGATAGCTCTATGAAGCTGTTTTTCTATGAGTGGGTCCCTATTTTGTTTCACACTGCAATACGCAGTCCTGCCAGAGGTTTCACACGATTCCACTGATCAACAGGTGGCAGTAACGCACCAAGAAAAGCAGGAAAAACTGACTGCTAGCAAGTAAATACAGATGTTAGAATTCAAGAACTTTAAATTGGCTTTGAAAATGTTTTATGTAGGGGAAAGGAATTCAGCCTGTTAGTGTTCAAAGATACATGCACTGTTTTGGTAAGACTGAATGTAAACACACAACACTTTACTGAAACACTGAATTTCACTGCAAGTTATTTGGGTACAGTATGTGATAAAACCTCTAATCTACTGAACAACAAGGGACAAACTGCTCAACAAAGTATTGTATTCAGAAAATAATGCTAACATGCAGTATACATGTAAACAGATTTTATTGCTTTAATTTGATTTCTGCATTAAAGGATAATCTATGGGCTCTATTGCATTTTTAGCAGCTCCCCTATTTCACTAAGCTGTTCAGTGATAGATGAAGCACAAAACTCCCCATAAAACCACAAATATTCATTTTAAAATGTTTTACTCTTTGTATTTTCTACAAGTTAAAGCAGTAAGACGTCAGTGCTGTCGGTTGGGGAACTTGACAGGTGTTGTAAAGTGGATTTTTCTTTTTTAAAACAGAGCCAGGCTAGTTGTTTCCCCCTGCTTCAGGTCTTTATGCTAAGCTAAGCTCCTGCTGGCTCTGGCTCCATATTTATAGAGTAGTATTGATCTTCCATCTAACTCTCGGCAAGCAAATGATTAAAGCATATTTCCCAAATTTACCAACTTTAAAGATTCTGATGTAATTTTAAAAATAAGCATACACCTATCAACAAACAAAAAAAACCACTAGTACCACAAATCATGAAACACATTAACAGAGAAGCAAAACTAGTTTATTACAAGTAGTGGAAATGTAGCCAGCTTTACATGTGAGTATACAGTACGTCATTACAAAGACATTCACTGTTGACTTGTGGTAGAAACCACCGCGGTCTTTACTTTGAAATATGGAATGAACATAAGTAACTTAAATAAAACTTAAAAATGTAAACAAAAAAGGAATGAAGCTCAGAGGAAGGTGACTAAACAAGACCGAGAGCTCATTTTGCTTGTCCGTAAGAACACTTAAGACTATTCCAGTATGAATGCTTTGAAGAGAAAACAGCCTGCATTGCCCTTTGTGAACCACAGTCAATTTATTAAAACAGCCATGATGTCCTTGGTTCTGGGCAAAGGAGGCAAAAAGAGAGTATGGAAGTCGTAAGAAGAAATTCTGCTAAGTGATTAATAAATGCAGTGAAAGCATAATGGTAATACAATCAGAAGGTTTATAGGAGTGACAGTCGGTGAACAATCATTCCTGTTGTTCCGCGTCTCTGCTGTGTTCAGTTACCATCTTTGGTACAGTACTTGCACTGGGTGAGGATGACTCAGCGTTTTCTTATTGCTCTACTCTATTGTTACTCAGCTCTGCTCTTGTTATTCCATTTACCATCCTGACAAATTAAGACCAAATTAATGGAGACAGGGGACATGGAGCTAGTTCATCAGACAGTTATTTTGTTCACAAAAACATCGTGGTTCGTTTTTTGTTCCCTCTCCAACTGACTTGGTCCCACCTCTCAAATACAACATAGAAAGCTGCTGTGAATGTATGAATAAAGTAAAATAAGAAAAACTACCACCGAAACCGGCACAATCCCATGATGACAGCATGAATCCACACTCTCAATGTCTGAAGAACTAGCTCCATAGAAAAATAACTCCTTATACCTGAGAAATTCTCAATTTGTTTTTAAAAAGCTTCTTTCTTTGTTGCTAATGCGATGGATCCACACAGTGGAAACACCACCTTCCTCAAAGACACTCCAGTGTTGGAACATGATACGGCTCACTTACCCTGCTGCAACCCCTCCTACTACCCTACCTCTACTCCTCCCTCATCTCATCACAACTCACAGTCTGTGAGGGTTGACCCATTTGTAAGTGCCTTCATAACGAAATCCAACTCTCTTCGCGAGGTCGTCCGCTTCTGTCGGGCCACGGCTGTGAGGAAAAGAAAGATGATCATTATCGACACTGTGTGCTGAATTCCTCTTCTAACTTAGGGCAAAGTGAGCAACTGTTTCTTACCTTCCATATCTATAAGGAATAGGTTTGGGCTTCTCATTGTCTATGTGATGAAGGAGAGGTGTGAAAATCCTCCATGCTTCCCTTAATTCATCACTGCAGATTCAAACAAATCGACATGTGGTTGAGGATATAACAGAGCTGTCGTGTAAAATATAAAAATGTATCAGGTTTTTATAACTCGTGTTTCCTTCCCGCTGAGGCAGAGAAGAGGAAATCAAAAAGACACACCTGCGTACAAAGTGCATCTGACTTCCACAGAAGACATCCAGGATGAGACGTTCGTAAGCATCTGGAAGCTTCACATCCTGAAAACAAGACACAAATTTCACATTATTACTTTATTAAATTAGAAGTCAATTTCTTAACTGAGTCTTTCTTTCTGCTCCTGTGTCCGTTCTTAAGTATGAACTGCACACATAAAATCAACTTGAACCTGCCTTGTATCTACTCTTGTAGGTGAGGTCCAGCTCAGTTTCTTCAGGGCTGAAGTATACGCCGGGTTTCTTGCTCATCATCTTGGCGTAGATGGCCTCGTTGGGCTGCACGCGCACCACAAGCTCATTCCTGCGACACTGATTTCCAAAAATGTCCCCCGGGACATCAGAGAACTGCAGTCGCACCTCAGCTTTCCTCTCGTTCAGAGCTTTTCCACAGCGAAGGATGAAAGGAACACCTGAGGAGCAAGAACGTTTTAAATGCCAGCATGTTACGAAAGAGCACGGAAAACGTGAGATTAGTAGGATTTGATTTGTAGAGGGCGCAGCGTGTTTACCATCCCAGCGTTCGTTGTGCACATACAGCACAGTGGTGGCAAAGGTGGCCTGAGTCGATCCTTTAGGAACTGTGGGATCATCAAGATAACCCAGTTTGGCCTCTCCCTCACCCTCCGGATCCCCCACATACTGACCCAGCACCACATCCGACATGGACACCGGAGCGATGCACTTCAGCACCTTCACCTACAAGAAGGAAGACGAGAGAACAGATCAATTTCCACACTTAAAAACATAAACAATAACATATTGTTACAGATTTTGTTGTGTTTGAGGAGGTGCTGAGAGCGTCGATTTTCTACCTTTTCATCCCTGACATCATCAGAGCTGGTAGATGCTGGTTTCTCCATGGCAACCAGGCAGAGCATCTGGAGCAAGTGGTTCTGCATGACATCGCTGATCATGACAAAGGGAACAGGTGGTTGCACAAAAGACAGAGAGGAAAATGTGATGGATGGAAAAATGTTCATTAAAATTAAAACTGATCATATGTTGGTACTGATGTACTGTTGAAACCGCTCAAATCTATCCATCATCTACAGGGTAATGACTTACAGTGAGTGGCTAATGATTATTTATAGATTAAAAAAGGTAACACTTCGCTTTAACCCCCCAATTTAGCATTTATAAGCAGTACATAAACAATAAATAAATGGTTCATATCTCACTATAATGTACAGATATAAAGGATATTTTAAAGTGTTTCTTAATGTTCAGTATTTGTCAACGATTAATAACGACTAATAAATTCACCAGTTTCCATTTTCAGGTTCTCACAAGAGGCTTTACAGTTGTTGACATTACTACATTATAGTCCGTTATAAACCAGTTATTAAATATAGTGCTAAAAAGGAGAGGTTAAAGTAAAGTGTTACCAATGAAAGTACTTTTTATAATATACAGTAACAAAACAAATACAGTGTCTAAGTATAGAAGCTGCTGTTACTGTTCTCTGCTCATTTTTATATAACCTCAATTCAAACCTGGATACAAACACACATTAAAGTTTAATATTACAAAGGAAAGACAGACTTCAGGGATTCATTTGTTTTCCCCTCACCGGATGATGCCAAAATCATCAAAGTAGCCTCCTCGTCCCTGAGTGCCAAACGGTTCTTTAAAGGTGAGAACAACGCAGGCCACGCTGTCCCTGTTCCAGATCGGCCCGAAGATACGGTTCCCAAACCTGCAATGAACATCACGTAATCGTTCTCTGCTCAGCGGCACACACAGACGTTCATGACAGCATGCATAACCCTTTTCTCCTGTTTGGTTCTTGGTTAGAGGCCAATTTCTTTTCTTCTTTGTGTGATATTCACAGAGGCTTTTCTAAACCACGAACCAGCTGAAACTGAAGTGTTGAATAATTCAAATGACCTTAAATCACCAGCAGATCTTTGTTTCAGAGTAAAATTTATAATACTTTGTCCACACAAGGAATTACAATGCACAGGGAGAAACATGCATGTAGTAGTGTGTGTTTTGTGTTTTATTCAGTTACAACTTTTTAATATTCTTTATTAGATAGTTGTAAACCATTGCTATAATTATTTCACAAAAAGCACAACTATATATATTTGTCCCCTCTTTCAGAGTAAAGTCTAGATCCGCTCTATTTGAAAAGTGTCCTTAGTTAACCTCGGTCATGATTTGGCTACAAAAAGGAAACTGAATTGAACTACTGCATGCAAGTAAAATTTTTGACATCTCCCTCCATCCCATTTGAAACAAGTTGCCTAAATTCCTAATCCTATCTCCATTTTATTGATTTCATTGATTGTTTCTCCTTCCCTTTGCCTATTTATGGTGCAGTTGGATTAAAAACTAATTGTGTTCCTACTCTTATAATTAATATTTATATTTACAGAGATAACTATCAGTTTGTTGAGGTTTTATACCCAGTATTAATGTTAATTAAATAATGCTCTGGCCCCAAAAACAGTGTGCACTCAATGATTCTTACTTATTTAGGTCAAATATTACTGTAAAACTGGAAATAAAGACTATATGGGTGTGGTATCATACAATAAATAACTACAATTTAAAAAGCAACTTTATCTGAAGATGCTTCTCTCACCTGAGCACCATGAGGTTCTGCACCATTTCCTTGCCCAGGTAGTGATCAATACGGTAGATCTGTTCTTCAGTGAAGAGGGAGGAGAGGTGAGTGGACAGCTCTTCAGAGCTCTGAAGGTCATGTCCAAACGGCTTCTCTACAATCACCCTGTTCCAGCCTCTGCAAACACACGCACACACACACACACACACAGAAGAAGATGAACATAATAGTTATCAGTGGGACACAACTGAGTTTAAATCCTGATATTGGGTCAGGTCTCTTTGCGCTCTTTGGGACTGACTTGACTTGAGGGTTTCTGTTGTTTACAGTCAGACATAGCAGGGCAGTGGACAACACACAAACAGACACTTGCAAAACAACAAGTAAACAGTGTGACACAGCAACAGTAAGTGTGTGTACTGACTTTGTGCTCATACAGCAGTGCCTGATGTTCTTTGAAACATCGTGGTAGACGGTGGGTGGCAGCGCCAGGTAGAAGAGACGGTTTGCCTCGGGTCCACCGGGCAGAGACAGGATGTGTGTGTTGAGTTTGGAGAAGGAACTGTCATCTGCATATTTCCCACTGATGTACGTGTTCCTGCTGAAGAACGCGGACAACCGTTCTGTTTCCGTATCCGTCACCTGAGGTTGGGAACATTTACACACACACATGGATTTAATAAGGATTTTTAAAAATGCAGACATAGAGGAGAAGAGAAGGAGAGGAATGAAAACAGGTATGAGAGGGAGGAAAGGGGTCAAATGATATTGTAAATTAAGAAAATACATTATAAGACATATGGAGATCAATGGGGGAAGACCAATTGGACAGAAGTTAAACATGGGAATATTTAAAGAAAATGTATGCATTTGTGTACTTATCTACTGTAATTTCCTCTACCTCCCCTCAAACAAATCTGTTAGATTTTAGTAAGTTGCATCTAAAAACCTCCAGTTTTACCTTCATGTATGGCATGCAAGAAGCCCGAATGGCATCAACTGTCAAGTCAGAGCGAGCAAAGCCCACAAAATACGTATTCTCAGGGAGGAGACCATCTCTGAACAACCACCTGGAAGCGAACAGAGGAAACGTCTGGTTCATTACACCCAACTTCAGATTAGACGAGTATCTTTCCTCAGATTCTGCTTTATTGATGTAAAAGCCTTCAGAGGTTCACTCACCAAAGAGTTGGGTAGATTTTCTTCTTGGCCAGATCTCCCTACAGGCACAAATACATGATCAGAAATATGAAAATACAGGTCACAAACACAATAAACAATTATGTGTTTAATTACTTAAGAATTACTGCTCATTTAACCAGTGCACTCTGGCCAGAGTTTTAGTTATTTTCCATGACACAAACTCTCAATATGCTGCAGTACTACAGGTCACACTATCTGTCAGCAGGTGAGTAGGCTGCTTTGGCTTATTTAAGAATTATGCAACTTTAGTAATCCCACTGAAAGCATTGCCAACCACCAACAGTCCAGAGACAAAAGACTGTCTGGTGCTTACTAATACACTGAAGAACCTGTTGCTTCGTGGTTCAATTATAAGAGCTAATGTAACAGAGCAACTTCTGATCATGTTTGACATGTTTTACCGACCACACACAAGGTTTCTGTGCCAGTGTCAGGTACTGACAAGAGGTGCTCATAAAATCAGGGATGACCAGAGGCAAACATCAATACAAAGACAGGACCGAACAGGACATTAGAAGTCAATTAATTAAAAGTAATTCCCACAATAGTATACTGTTGGCCTAGATCACAATCTCCCTTTAAGACACTCTGTTCCTCAGATGGGGATTCCTCAACTTGTAACCCTGCTACCTTGTTTAAGACTGCATGTTTAAAGTTAATAACTATACATGAGAGGAACAGAGACGTGTAACTTGCTATTTGCAAAACAGGGTTGGGAGGGTTTCTTTGACACCTTCAAAATTCAGGCTATACTGTGATGTTGTTCCCTTTTCTGCTAAAGACAAAATAATGAAATAACATTTCTGCAGTGACTGTATTTAATAATGAACTGGCAACTGTAAGATTAGCTATGGTTTTACTCGTGACCAGAGTGGAGTTGTGAGACTGTTTAGTGCTGTAATGTGTATGCACTGCACATGTGCATGGTAGTATATCGTTATATATTGTTATATATTTTAAAATGTACTTTAAAATTGTAATCCTGCCAATAATCCCCATTTTTACTAAATGCAACTGTAATCTGATGATGTCTTTTATCCTGCAACAGATTACATTTTTGTATCCTGATTGCGTAACTCCATTACATGTAATCTGTTACTCCCCAAACCTGTTCACAAATGTGCTTATGTCACACTTAGTAATTAATTTGAGGTGATCTGGTATGCACAATATCCTCCAACATTAGCAGAAGATAAACCTGTTGAACTTTTCTTATTGTCATGAAGCTAAAACAGCAATAACTACTGAATTAGTAGCAGTGAGTAAATGTTAGAAAATGTGCTGTGACTGTACTGTATGTATGCAAATGGTGATAAACATAAAAGTAGTACAAACATTTAATCAGCTGCAGGCACACACACACACACAAACACACACAGACACACAGACACACATACACACAGCCATCAACCATGCACAATCAGAGTGAGATTGCACATAGCCCGGCCCTTCCCCTGACCTGCCTGTGTATCACATTGAAAGAAAAACGCTGACAGTCAGTGACACTGCAAAAAAACAAACAGCGCCACTCTTCTCTCCCAAGAGCAAACGGTAAAACAGCCAGTGGATTTACTGCAGCCTGACTATTAAAATAACTAAACTGGCACCATATTTGTTTGTGGTTTCTTCTTTAGTGTTTTAATTATCATAAAATTGTAATTAATATGGTTTGAGATGTGAAAGAAAAGCTGCTGCTGACAGGAAAATGGTGAGTTTGCATATTAGTTTTTCATGTTCTCAGATAAAAACATGTTTCTGTAAAACTGTTTTCCTTTACAATAGAGACAGGTACGACTCATTTAAACTAGAAAAACAACTGAACAGGAAGAACCCACATTTGGATAGATTGAAGCCCTGATAGAGAAGGAGAAGGCAGAGAAAGAAAAGAAATGTTGTAACAAAGAAATGAGGAAACCGGTCTAAAAAGTTTCAGGATGTCTGAAATGGTTTTAGTTCCTGAACTCGACACCTGAACGGTATGAGGAAATAGTAAACTGTGAAAACTGTGGGACATTAATTATTACATTATTAGGGTGATATCAACTTATTATTCAATTTATTTTAGCTGTAATATAAATTAAGTTTGATTATGAGTAGGCATGTGGATCAAACAGCAAATAACAAACAAATTAGATTTTAATGCAACTATAAATTACTGAGGACTTTACAGTAGTACTTAATGCTTGCTTTCTTAGCTTGGTTCACTTTGCTGCTTTACTTATTATTTGCAGAATTGCACAATTTAAATAAAGGTGTTGTTGAATTTACCACGTGTTTACACAAAGCTGTCACACAACTGTTTAATTTACTGTTTAGTATTGTCTTAACACAAACAAAGTGGATCGGACCAAGCTACACAAAACTAGTGTAAAACTTGTCTTTCCAGCCATTCCAGGCAGGTTTACTGGGTCTGGTAAAGTTAAATTAGTTGTCCACAGAGCCCCCAGTTGCTTGGCTGGTAGAGTGTGCGCCCCGTTTACTCGGGGCCTTTGCTGTGTGTCACTCCCCCTCTCTTTCCCCAGTTTCTTGTCTATCTTCAAGCTGTCATTATCCAAATAAAAAAGGCATGAAATGCCCAAACAAATAATTATTTCGTTAAATATTTACTCGCCCCATAGACAGTCAGCTTACTTTCTACTTTGCCAAGATATGCTGTTGTTGTGAGGTTAACTATAAGTAGCAGGAGAGTATCGCTGTCTGGAGCTGGTGTGCATGTTAGCTGTGCAGCAAGTTAACTTCAAGTTAAATGTATTCGAAGGAGAGTAAGGTATTAAAAAGACCGTACTGATACGACTGATAAATAAATAAGGAGGTATCTCTCTCACACACACACACACACACACACACACACACACACACACGCGCACACGCACACACACACACACTACTGAAAATGATAAGAAAAGAGGAACCTTGAGGTTTTCGCTGTCTCAATTTTAGCCTTTTGAAAGCTCGGACCACTGAGCCGTGTTTGTTTGCTTAAACTTGGTGAAATCAGTTTCAACATTTCCTTAATCACATCGTGCCCTATTATTGCAGCATTGTTAAACATTACAACACACTTTACTTTGAAATTATGGTCAATAATGCTTGCCTAAGTGGCCTACACTGTAAATACAGAACACAGAGAAAAGTCTGATTGGTCCTAAAAGCTTATGTAAGTGATCTGGGTGGCTCCACCGTTAGCCCTTTCATTTCATTTCACAAGTGCATTATCAGTTCCCCATTTATACACCTTGATTATATTATCACTAGATTAGGATTCCAGTGTTTCCTCTAGGATTTTTTTAGCAGCGGCGGCAGGCCCGTCCGAACACCCCCCCGTCCCTGTCACACCTGCAAATGTTTTATGTATGAAACAGAAGTGACACTTCGCTGCAACACAAACAAATATATTTACCGTTTTAATGTTTCCAGATGTTTGATATCAGGACGTTGAGCTGAGAACTGACAAGTTGAACGTTGTCCAATTTAAAACGGACCCACCACGGTGACGTTTTTGGTGGAGCTGTTAGTTTATTAGTCGACTTGGAAGAACGCAAACGTTTTGACAATAAGCTACATCAACACAACAGTATGTGGAGTTAAACTGGACAGCCCCAATAACCTCTGAATAGTTCTACTCGTTGTTAAATTGCAATGTGAGCGGCAGCCAACGGGGGTACATTATGTCGGCAGGATCATTTAAAAGGCAACCGTGACTACATTGTGCGTCTGCCCCATTTCTGATACCGTGGCGGCAGAAATTTAACAGCAGCAGGCCGCCGCTGCAAAATCAACATAGAGGAAACACTGGATTCCCCTGCTCCCTGCTCTCACCGAGGCTCCCATGATGATGAAGACGTGAACATCGGACTGATGGAACTCCTCATCTTCATGCAGCTCCTTCCTCAGCTCCCCAAACACCTCAGAGCGGGAGAGGGGGATGTTGGTCATTTTCTCTAAAAAAAAAAAAGTCAAAAAAGTTAATAATGTTCTTTTACACGTCAAAACCAAACCATCAAGAAGACAAATACAGGCTCTACCCTAAAACTTTGTGAGCGCTTGCCTAACATGTGAATTCAATGGACTTTTGTGCCTTTTGCACCCTAAAGGCTTTACAGAGACTAAAGGCAGCGAGTGGAGTCCGCTCCTCCCTTTGTTTTACATAAACAGCCTAGTTAAGCTTGCACGACTCGTGTCACAACCATACTGTCAATGGTCACAACACAGTAAACAAGATTGTATTCATGAATGTCAATGTGACATAACCGTTACATTTTAGATGACACAGTGCAGAATGATTTAAAAAGTCTGTACTGATATTATTCAGCAAGTGTAGGCGACAAGATCTTCATATAATATGAAGATTAACTGAACAGTGCTGAAACAACGGGGTGATTAATCAATTAGATAATAGACAGAAAATTAATTCATTGTTTGGGTTATTTTTTAAGCAAAATATCTAAACTAGTCTATCAACTAGTTTTAGCCTCACAGATGTGAAGATTGGCAACTTTTATTTGATTTATAAAATTTTACATTTAATATCTTTAGGTTTTCGACTGGTATATGAACAAACAAGATTTTCACCATTTTGGGACAATATCTCCGGAAAAAACTATACATTCGATTAAATGACCTTGCGCTCTGGAAAACTGGGGTGGACAATTTTCATAATTTTCTGACATTTTATAGACCGTGCGATTAATCGAGAAAATAGTCAGCATAGAATTTAATCTAATTGATGCCTGAAACAACCGAAAATTAAGGATTACTTCTTTAAAACACAGCATTCCCAACAAGGGAAGTTGCCAGGCGGTACGTGTAAAGATTGTGTGGAGGAACAACTTAATTAAAAACATATACATCAACATATTGAGTCAGCTGTAACATCTGAACAGTGTGAAAATTAGTCAGTAACCTAAGTGAGCAGAGACGATTAAAAAGTTGGCTCAAAGTAACATCATTTGTTTTAAATAAATGATTGAAATAATCATCTAAAAATTGATAAATGGTCGAAATATCTTAAAGTATTAGATAATTCTTTATAACAGCCAAGAGTAATGGATAAATAGTTAACAGACAAAGGGTTGAAACATCCAGTTTGTGCCACAAGTAGTATGTATGCAAAGTTAAACAAACCAAAATCACTGGTAGTTCAACTGTATGAAGAAATATTCTAATAATATCCAGTTTTATATCTAACTAGTAACTAGAGTTAAATAATGTGGTATCAAATGAAATAAACACAGTTGGAACAAAACTAAAAATAAACTAAAAGCTAAAACTAGGCGTAAAAAAACATTTTAGTCGACTGAAATAAAAATAAAAACTAGACTTTACAAAAAGTAACCAAAACAACAAGACCAACTAAAATAAAATAAAAACACAACAAAGACCCACAACATTAAGACTAAAAACTGATACAGAATCTAATCTGATAACATTTAAACAATAAAAACTACCCTGAAACGACCAAAAACACACTCAAACACAAAACTATAACTCTGGTTTACAACATGCCTGGTGGTGCTGATGAAAGAGTACTTGAGTTCATCTTACTGGGCTGTGAGGGAACCTCTGGGGAAAAAAAGGTTGGGAACCACTGATGCTGTGATATATATATATATTTTTTTACCATTTACTATACAAGAAAAACCACTGGCACTAGTCCTAGTTACTTCCTCAATTATCCAACAATCAAAAGATAAGGAGCTGCATGTTTGAGGAAGAGGATAGATTTACTTGTGACTCATTTTCAAGAAGCCAAATCAGGAAGTTCAAGTAATTTCATGAGTTCTTTATTTTCCACTTTTAACTAACCCTGCACATCACCTCTGAATAACTTGATTAACAGTACATTAAAAAGCATAAGCATGACAGGAAACACACAGTACAGGTCTGTCTGGCGGTCATTAGCACCCATAAATAGCCTTGAGACACACACACACACACACACACACACACACACCAAACTATAATGATATAAGTCAAATCCTCGCAAATCCCGAAGAGGGCTAAACCTCACTCCTTGCAGCACACATCTAGAAAACACGGGCTCACATGTTGACGCTAACGAAGTGATTATTTCGTGCACAGTCAGCTACCAACATCCACCGTGAAGGAGCTCAGACTGTGCTGCTATTAAAACCTTATCTACCATACGTTAATTACTCGTATGCTGGTAATACATAACAAAAAAAAAAAACGCCCTGTCATCATAGCTTCACATGCCGTTATGAAAACATGACTTGACAAGCAGCAGCAAACGGCAGCTAGCTTTAAAAACACGTAGAGAGCTACTCACAGGTCCGTCAAAACGAGAGGATAACCCGGCAGTTATAAACCCCTGGCCAAAAGGAGAGGACACCGGACTTTATATACACTCTCACTCTCACTCACAGCGACTGTAGTTCAAGGCTGGCGTCGCTGCCTACTTCCCTGTTCGAGTGACAAGGGAGGAAACGCGAGTTTTTTATTGGTTTGGAAGAAAACTCACCAGCGCTCGCTCGAGTCCCCATCGCCGTCGAATGCGGTGACGTCGACGCGTGGGCGTGGCTTAACTGTACCCCTCTCCACGCACACGCACACGCACACACACACACACACACACACACACGCACACACACACACACACACACACATACTGAAAACTGGACAGGTGGAAATGCACTTTATTCACATTGATGAGTATGAGGATAAATATACATGTATGAATGAAAAAGAAGAGGAAATAATGGAATTTTTTTTTTTTTTTTTAATATAGTTTTTATTTATTTCGTCAGTACAGTCTCTCAGTTTTTCACTCTTTTTCCGTCTTACAAAAAAAAAAAACACTTTTTAAAAAGATTCATATTTTTTATTATCGGAGTCTGTGTTTAAAGGACCAGTGTGCAGGATTTAGTGGCATCTAGTGGTGCGGGTTGCAACTCCCTCGCTACACCACCTTCCCCTTCTGATGCGTGAAGGAGAAACCCATAGTGGCAGCGAAAAATGTGCAAAAAAAACCCAAAAACATGAACTAGAGCCATTTTGGTTTGGCCCTTTCTAGGATGTAAAAACATGGCGGACCTTATGGAAGGCAACCCGTGGCATTTGTAGAAATAAACAGCTCATTCTAAGATAGCAAAAAGTATTGTTATTTTCAGGTTATTAGACACTAATGAATTCATGAATATTATATGACATTTATACTATTAGATCCTCCTAAATGTTACACACTGGACATTTAAAGAAAAAAGGCAGCAGCTAGTCATCATGTATATCAATTTTGAGTTACTAAGAATTAAGTATTTTTTCCCTTTCCCCATTTTTTGATAATTTACAAGTTACTTTATAGATCGACATAAACAATATAAAATATAATAAATAAATAAATTCTGATTTACTATAATAGGTTAAGGCATGATGAGTCATAATTGATCCCTTACATGTACGATGTATTCATTGCGGTATTGCTATTTTCACTTATAGCAGCAACAAAGAACTTCATTTTTATGTTTATTAATAGATCCTCCTAAATGATACACACTGGACCTTTAGGTAAAAGCTTTTTCCACCTCTGTAAAGTAAACAAGCCCCATGGAAACACTAAAACCAACAACAGGGTTGGTCTTTCTGACTTTCCCCCATTTGTTTGTGTCATCAGCAGAGGGACAGTAAAGAGGGGAATCTGTGCTTAAAATACTGTAACTCAGATATCACGGTCGGTTAACTCAGACTGCCTCACATAAGCTTTGGCTCAACTTTGAAAGGCATTTTTGTGCAGAAAGAAACAACCGACTATGGATTTATTCCCCATCTTTTCAAATGGAGAAGCACTGGGAGGGATCAATAACTCTTTCAGTGTACATAATGGCATGTGTTAATTGTATTATTTAAAATATTTATTAAATATTTAATATATATATATTTAATTTATCTTTTATGAAAACATCCACATATACAAATCCACGACCAAGAGTCAGATGAAGACCCAGTTCTGGCTGAGTCTGGTGGATATGCAGGTAGTCACAATCACCTTTCCTCCTGATACTGTCAAACATTTGCCTGACGATGGATTCCTCAGATGGTTTTCCTGAAAAACAACAACAACGTAAACTGTATATCTGCTGTGTTTAAGAGGGTTACAGATTGGATCTAGAAATAAACGTAGAGATAGTGTGACAAAAATGAGGAAATTGAAATCTTAGTATTTCCTGGTGTAGCTTGGGACAGTATTGTAACATCAGTTGCTGCAGAGTTCTGAGTTGATGTGGAAAGACATGTTGTACCTGTGTAAAGATCCAGACTTGCTCAGGAGCTGCTGTGGTTACTTTTCCCATCCGTTGACAGAGTTTAAGAGACACAAGAGCTCTTCCAGGGGTTGCATGTAAACACAACTCAATGCCGCTGCTGAGCCGTACCTCTTGCTGGGATGTGTATTCAAAATACTACAAATCACACAGACAAATTGTATGTTTTAAAATAATCCATAATCACCTTTTTATCATTTAATGTTGTTTTCTAAATTTACTACCAGTCCCTACAGGATTTTGCAGGGTTTTTGGGGGATTTTTGTGGTGTAAAATGCCTGATTTCACTGCAGAATTTTTTTTTAAAAAAGGCATTTTACTGCAGTTAAATTATGACAGAAAGTGAAAATTGCATTGTTTTTTTTTTTTTTGTATAATTCAATAATTCTCTAGAACTTAGTTAGTAGTTTGGTGATGTATGGCTGTAACCTACATGCACACAACACTGACTACAAGATCAGCCAACACTGGTTTGTTCAACATCCAAGCATGATCTGAGAAGTCATGCCCCCAAACCTCCGTAGCAGGGCTTGGACTCACAACCTCACTATTTCTAAAATCCTGGCTACGGCACGGTGGGAAACTATAATGATTGGTGAAATTGGCAGAAAAGTTGCAGTGATTGGACAAAATTGCAAGGTCGAATTTGTGTGCAATCACAACTTCCTGTAGGGACTGTAACATATTCACCTAACGCAGTGATTCCCAGCCTTTTTGGCTTGTGAGCCCCTAATCAGAGTTTAAAAAGTCTGGAATTAATTTCTCTGTTATATTTTAACAAGAAAAGTGTGGAAAAAAAAGAAAGAACATTCCTTATCCCTTTATTTACCAGTGACCCCTCAGATTGTTTTGATTCCCAGGTTGGGATCCGCTGATGATTAGCATACCTGTGCTCTACCTTCACTACTACATGTGAACATTTTAACAGGCTCCCATTGCTTATTTGTCTTCTTCACATCCAGGCAGCACTTCCAACCAACGTTTTCCAACTGCAAGAAAAAAATAATAATATAGTTGTTGTAATATAGTTTTATCTAATGTAACTTTTGTCTTGAGGTTTAGGAATATTAAGAGAAAATGTTCTGTAAGAGCACTTTTTGTGGGTTGATTCAAAGTTAAAATATTAATGAATTTAGTCTTTTATATTTGCTGCATAAGTAGAAAAACCTAGCACTGGAAATTGGGCAAAAAATGCACACTTGTATGTTTTACAGATACAAACTGTCACATCCCACTGAAGATAATCAGATGTTGATGAAGTAGTTTACCTGTCCGTGCCTGACTGGAACGATATCAGGCACGTGGGCCTCTGGATAAATGTTGTTTAGGTACCAAGAAAAGTTCTTGCACTTTAATCTCTCCCTGAGTTTATGGCGTTCAGTAACATCTCCAAATAAATTCTGAGGGGACAGAACAAAAGAAAAACAACATATGGTGAGGTAGGACACAGGGTCATAAATATAATGCCACTAACTTCCTGGGTTTGTACCAACCTCTTTAAAAATGGAAGCAGCCTTTTTGTTTGTACGATAGAAGACCCATTTGTAGTTATCCATCCAGACCTCAGCCAGGCGGACCAGGTTGCGAGTGATCACAGTGCTGCCTCCGGGGTAGGTGTGGGGGCTTTTTCTGCGGAAAATATGCCCCACAACAGAACAAGGAATAATCTCCAGCTGACCTCCACATTGCCAGACCTGCATTAGAGTGAATGCAGAGCACAAGGTAAGACTGGAGCTTCTTTTGTAAAGCATATTTATACTAAAAAACACTAAAAAACCTTCTTACCCTGAAGGACATTTCCAAATTCTCACCTCCCCAGAACTCCATCTGGTCATCATAAGTCCCAATATGCTCAAAGTATGATTTAGATACAGAGAACAGGCCACCAGCAAAGGTCGGAGTTCTACAAAATCAGACATAAATCAGTCTAGTTTCATTTAAATGAACACCTACTCTTATTTCTTTCTTGCCGGGACTCGTTACCACTCTCACATCTGCACAGTAAACACCAACCTGATAGGAAAAGTTTCATTCTTCCTTCTCTTCTTCTCCTCTTCTGGGATGCCCTCCCATCCAAACTTTAGCCTCCAGTCAAAATTCCCCCGATGGTAATAATGCTGTTTAGGGACTGGCTTACTGAACTTTAGGTTATCTTGGTCAATGATGGCGATTTTCGGGCTCACCACAGCGGAAGGCTGCTCTTCTATCCGAGCTAGAAGAGGCTCCAGCCATCCGGGGAAGCATTCACCTACACAGGAACATAACATTTGTCAATCAGGGGTGCAGCTAGGAAGTTATTGGTTGAATGTGGTGACTGTAGACTCCTCTATTGTTCTTTACTTGTTCCCTTTTCACCATATACTTCTACTGTATGCTTAACAGCCAGAAAAACACACCACCAGATACTAATTTTAGGCACTACCTTCTTTATGTTGATCAATAGACACGGGTTCAAAACAACCAGCTGATAATGCATGAAAACGATGGCGAGCATTGCATTATGGGATACATACAGTGGGAATCCAGGAAGGTGAGGACCTCTCCTTGTGCGGCCTGCGCTCCCAATAGTCTGGCTGTGATCAAGCCTTTCCTCTCCCTCTGTCGTAGCACACGGACTATATTCAGCTGCTGTACATAGTTATCCAGGCGAGTCTTAAGGTGATCTAAAGAAAGAGAAGTTAACAATGAAATTAGGGGAAGGAGTAATTGTGATGAAATTAATTATCTTATTTACTTATTTATGATGTTAAACCAGCAACACAGCTGGTTTTTATCACAGATGGTCATGTTATTACAAAAAAAGACAAGCTGTGAACACAACACTGTTATATTATCATGAGGTTTTAGCTGAAAAAGCAATAATAATGCCTCTATATGACCTACATAAACAAACAAGAAAAAAATGGCTATTTCTGTATAGTTAGTTTCTGTATACTAGGTCATGTTCTCCTTGAACAAGGGGTTCCTTGTAGCTGGTTTAAGTTAATATTATTAATGTTTTTAGCTTATTGCTAAATGCTTCACTGTGTTAGTTGTTAACTGTGTCTGTGTCGTTTGGTGCTGGCTGGGTAGCTTACAGTGGAGATTTTTTAGATCTTTTTAGCTGAAAACATCTGCCTGCTGCAACTGGCAAGGATGATATTAGAGCTGCGAGATTGAAACAAAACAAAAAAACAATGAGACTCTTTAAAGCTCCATAGGTCTGAGAGAAAATGTAGTGTCAGGTGACAATTCTCTGTGTGGCTCATCAGTTTTACTAAAAGCAACAACAAGGAACTTTAATTAAATTTTTTTGGTCGATTCTGGTGACCCCTGTGGACAAAAGTGGCACTGCTTCTACCGCCTTGTTTCATTGATTTCAAGGGGAATCTGATTAAATCCGACCCGTTGGCAGGCATTTAATAAAAACTATACTCAACTCATGGTTTCGTTTGCTTATGTAGTTCACATAGAGGCATCAGTATTACATTTAGACTGTTTTATGACCACTTCCTCCATGTATTTTAGGTTTTGCGGATGTTTTTTCGCAATCAGTGCTGTACAACATGAACAGAAATATATCTGTCAATCCACTTTCCCTCTTGACAGTGCGGCTCTGTGGAGATACTCGCCATCTGTGCTGGCATCGTCCACCAGTAAGATCTCTGTGAGCAGGGCTGCAGGAGCTGTGTGTAAGACACTGTAGACGGTCCTCAGCAGAGTGGACCATGCCTCATTATGAAACACTATGATCACACTGGTTGTAGGGAGGCCAGGACAACGCCGAAACCTCTGTTCCAAGCAGCTGTCAGAGCGGAACTGAAAGTTAACAGGTATATTTAACAACATGTGCTTTTCCTGTTGAATTGAGTCAATGGTGATTGATCCTCTGGCGAGATAATGAACAATGGTTATACTCACTCTTGGTGTCGTGTATCTTTGCCCAGATCACGGTGCAGGGAGATGCGATCACTGGCAAACTGGTTGAACTGGTTTTTATCAAACCCGTACAATTCCTCTTTTTTGTCTTCCAGAGTCATTCGGTGTGACACAAAGGGTTTACCTCGCGCTCCTGGTGCCCTGGGGTCTTGGAGAGGCCTCCGAAGGTGAGGCTTAAGCTCCTCTGCAGTGTAAAAGCCAGGTGGACATTTGGGATTTGGCAACAGGACAACAGGGGTGGATACTTTGAGTCTCACCACACCCGCCAGAGGTAGGTGTGATGGTTCAGGGAAAGCTGTGTGGTTGATGGTGAGGTACATACGGATGAGCACAAGCAGAAAGCAGGAAGTAGCTAACTTTACTGGAAGGGTGAGACGACAGCAAAATACAGGCCTACGCATGGTATGCAGAGGGAAGGACTGACCTGAAAAAAAAACTGAATACAGATCACATAAAAGACATTATTATAGAAAGCATAATATAAGTATTTATAAAGCAATTCATCAGATTTTTATTCTATTCTATTCTATTTTTCAGCACAAATATCGCTGTATCTTTGTGTAGAGCAGGCCTACTGTACAGTGACACCAACAATCATATAGGTTGTAAAATGAACAAGACACTTCCATACAGGCTTCGTGGAACAGTATACTGTATAAAACTTATATACTTGGTACTTAAAAATATAAAACATAGTGATATATTACATGAAATCTGTGTCCATAAGCACACAAGACATTTGTTTGAGTTTACAAAGAAGAAAGCAATAGAAAGTTTAGAAACTGTACATTAAATAAAGTAATACAACTTTACAACATTTGGAGGTAAGTAAGAAACACCTAGGCTAAACATTGTCATAACAGGTATATGTAGGTTTATAGGTGGACACACTTTTTTCAAAAAATCTTTCACTTACTTTACTTTAGCTGCAGGACATCAGCAAGTCACTACATCTGTGTCACACTTCCTTGTGTCACAGTTGTCTTTCAGTCATGCAGGAAACAAAAAGTTATAACCTGGTTGGTGCACATCCAATCAACAAAAACTATAACTGCTCAAACCGGTCTAATTTTAGCCTGTGAGCTCAACTAGTGTGGCCTTTCTGCACATTACACATCATATTAAGATTCTTTGTTTACATAAAGGGAACTTGGTGTGCAACAGTTGATATACAAAGCAGGAAAGAGTGCAAATATATAGAGAGCAGATATAAACAAAACCAAATATAAGGGTATTATCGGTAAGGTGTAAAACCAAATGTAGGTTACCCATTGACAGAAATGTAACAGGCGGTAGGTATCATAAATATAGTTATAAATTGGTTATAAAGTGAGGTGCAAATCTAAATATAGGCCACACAATGTCAAATATAACAGGGTCACATGTAAGATGCGTAGCTATTGACCTATGTAGGCCTACCATAAATAAATCTAAAATTATTTTTCAAGTTTTCAAGTTTCAAATTTTAATCTTGAACCACAGAAAGGTGAAAGAAAAACAAAATGGCGTCTGATCGGAACCGAGCTCACAGAACGTTGCTGGGTTACTGCGTTAACCGTTGTAGTAGCAAACTGGTATGTAAAGCTTAAAACAAACACCCAAAAACCTTTTTGTTCTGTTATAAAAAGTTAAATGTGTAATTAAATATGTATCCTATTTGTCCCATCTTTATTTATTTATATATTGTTTGTGTATTTTCTTTTTTGTTGTTGTTTTGTTTGCGCTCCAGTTGAGTTCCAACGTTCGCCCTCGCGAGACACCCTCGAGTGTGGGCGGGGGCTTGTTGCCACGGTTACGCTTAACACAAAACCAAAGTTGTCTGTTTTTCAGGTAAACTTAACAACGTTACAGGTTGTCTCTCTTTCTGTGTCCCCCCCGGGTCGCAAGGTAGACTTTTTCTACATTAATGGCGTTCTTCGGTTTAACACACCTGGGTTATCAAAACCCAATAGGCGATAAAATGATAGTGAATCCCAAAGGAGCGTCTCATCCTCAGGGTAAGATGAGCCGGACTAATAGATTTCTATTAACGTTACTTATAACACCACATGAAATGCTCCAGTAAGTAAAAGTCCTGCATTCAAAACACTGTCAAAGTAAAAGTAAACCTATTACTATCCCTGTCAGAGTTTTGCTATTATATATGTTGGTTTTTGAATTAATATATGTAACTTTACTGTATTCTTTATTTTGGTTCTTTATTTTATTGGCTTGTGTTGTAGATGTTTAAGGTTGGGTAGTTTAATCCACAGCAATGCATCATATTGTATAACAGTGGTTCCCAACCAGGGGGAGCTAGAAAACTTTAAAACTATATACACAGTCTCAGCCTTTTGTAACTTCTTCTGTGAAGAAAAGTAAATGTAAAGTAGAATAAATGTGTCAAACAGAACAATAACCAAACATCAGGGACAAGAAAACACTGGATTTGTCAAAAAAAAAAAAAGAAGAAGCGTAAATCCATAATACAGACAGAGAATTGTATAAAAAGTAGAATATATATATATATAAATAAATATCATCCAAATCACTCATTTTGCACAAACCTCTTGCAGTCACTGAGTTCACTATTTGGGTACAATCTTTATTACAATATGAAATATCCACAAATCATGTCACTTAGCCAGAGGTCATCTAAAAAACATTTATAGTAAGACAATCACGCAACCAGCATACAAGAACAACACATTTAAAAGCCAGACAACCCTCACTCACACTCAAGAGACAAAACAAGTTAAGTCATAAAAGACATCAGATAGTAAAGCTCTGAACTCTAAAAGGGGGAGGACATAATTTAGCTGAATCCATAAACTTTTATGTTATTTCCCTACTATAATATTTCATGCACTTCTGCAACTAGTCCAGTGTAATTACAAACCATTTCACGTTTGGGGTCTTATAGGCCCCTCGATACTGTATAAAACCTGATATATGTTGGCACTTTTATGAAATCTCAAGCAATACACTCCACAGTTTAACTTTAATCTTTTTTTAATGGCCAGTTGTCCATCCATACTATAGTAACATATCTCTTTACAGATACTTCAGCAGGGCTGCCTCCATCTCTTCAAGAACAACAGGGACCCCTCAGATGTACAGACATGTGCAACGTCTACCACCAGCCTCTTCCCTACAGCACTGACATACACCACGGGAGCCAGGAACGATACAAAGAGATGGTCAAAAGGGTGAAAACACCCAGATGTGAGTAGATGTTTAAAAAATTAGACATTAAGGGTCTGATGGACTTCACTGGATCCAAATCACATTGATGTATTCCTGGTGACAAGTCATATACATTAAATTAAGAAGCCGTGACAAGGAATGAAAGTGAGATTGGTGAGAGTCTGTCTCTTCTCCAGCGCCTAACCAGCTGTACAAAATGCCCCTAACGGACAGCCAGCAGTATGGATGGATGATTTCCAAGAGTCCTGAACCGTGGACCCAAGTCAAACATTTTCCCCGAAAGAACAGTGAGATGACAAAGTAGGTAACATTTCCAAATCTCACATTAGATTTTTTTAAAAACACATACAATCCAGATCTCTGTGAGTGTAATCCACTTGTTGCTTTCACAGGTTCGTTAACGAAATGTCAGTGACTGACCGGGAGTTCAGCCTGTTCTGACAGCCCTCTCCATTTCTATTTTTATCCTCCTTCAGTTGTTACACATACACACACCAGAAACAGCATCGGTTTTGATGTGGATTTCTGAGATTAAACTGTTAACAGATGCACTTTTTGAACATTTTTATGTTTCGTTTTGTTGATTCTTACACTAATGATTGTTTTATGGTAGGCTACTTTTTTTTTTTTTACACAATCTATGATTAACTGCCTTTCTAGAACAATACTTTTTAACAGTTTTAGCTCACAACTTTTATAAAGAAGGTCTGGAGGTGTAAATATAAAAAACATATAGGCTGCTTATTGGAAGAAAATCTTAGAGCTTTTTCTCACAAACAAATAATTCAAAACTAAGTAAATTTGATACATCATAAGGTAAAAAAGTCATCATCACTGTAGAGGTCCAGACTTGCAGGTTCAGAGGCACTGCTGGAGTGGTCCATAGAGACAGTGAGACTATACTGCCCTCTAGAGGACATAAAAATAACTACTTCTGAATTTTGGAAGATAATGGTCTTTGTGTGAATAGTTGAGAGTTTATACCGCCACCAGAGGTGAGTTTAGTAACTGGTCCATGTGAAATAGTAGCAGCAGGAAATCAAGAAACATTGAGAGACATAGGAGTCAAAGAAGATCAAGACAATATCAGGCTGGATTTGAACACTAGACCCAACCCCTGAAAAGGCATGAAATGTCGTAGATATTACTTCATGGACTTCATTCAGTACTACAAACGTGTTAGATAAGTGAAAACTGTTTATGAAGGCCATCAGTTGGAACGAGAGCTTATCATACTGGAATCCATGGCCAGCCCTGTTGTGAGTGTTGCAGGTTGACCATGAATGTGTCCAAGGCACCAGTGGTGGACTGAGGCTGTTTGAGCACCAGCACATAGGAAGTTGTGATGCATTTATGGTGAAACAGCTTAGTCAGGGTTATGATAAGCCCCCTAGAGGACACTTCCTCACATTTTCTCCACTGGAAGGGCACCCTAGAAGGGCACTTTGTCATGTTTTAGCTACCATAGGGGCATCCAAGCGGGCAATTTGCTGCTCATCACATAAAGAGTTCATGATCACCTGGAGGCACAAAGTGCTGCAGTGCAGGAAACTAATCAATCCTGAGCTACAGTCACAACTCTTAATATTTACAAGCAAGTATTCTGGGGTCTAAGCATCGCACACAACTCGGAACCAAAGGTGAAATAATTACCTGTAGGAGGCACCATGTGAAACTTCCTGTCACAGAGGTTGTTACTTACCATAACCTGCCTGTAGATGGTGCAGTGTGGCACATGTTCATCAGTGCTACAGGTTGGACTGAGACTGTTGGTTTGGTCGCAGGTGCTTTCCCTCAGTGATAGTGTCCTTGTTTTGGTGGTCCATAACATTGGGTAGTGGTCCCAACACGGTGATGACTCTGCAACAAAAAAAAAACCTGACATATTCCTAACCAGTGTGTTTATTTCACAGAAAATGTCTACTGATGAACAGCAATGCATGTTTTTTTATGTTTCTTACAATTACTGTCATCTACCTTTGAGAATATCTTTGTTTGCAGGCTTATAGTGTCTAAAATACGTAATAGTGGTGCTACAGTGTCTTCAGATACAGTCAGTATTATATCAGCACACACAGAATCTCAATGGATGCTTATAAAACGTACAATAATCTAGATGTGGTTATCAAGTATGACGGGCCACAGGAAGTACTCGTTTTCAGTACATTTAACAACACAAGTAAATATATGAACAGACAAAACAGCCATTGATTTTTTTTTATTTTTTCTTCAAGGGGAAATGTTATTTTTCTCTTTGTCATAGTCCTCAACTCTTCTTGTCCTTCAACTTTGCAAAACACTCCCCTTTTCAACTCCTCCAACTCAGGGAAAAATACAAATAAAACAAAAACAAATACGGAAGGATTCATCAGGCCTGAGCAAAACACTGTTTCAGTAGTACGGGGACAACCTTCCTCCCCTCTCCTGTTCCCCCCAAAACATCCCAAGAGTTAACAATCAACACAAGTCTATGGACAGCCAATAGAAATAGAATACATACAATGCACATTTTTATAAACTCATGTCCATTCTATAAACTCTTTGCTTATATGAATCACTCTTCATTGGTCACAGTTCACTTGATAGTTGGTGATCTTCATTACATTACTGTCCTCTGGTGCTCCCACCACCACCACCACCGCTACGCCCCAAGGCCAAATATCATTGCACAGAAGGGACCAATAGCACAAGGCTGCGTGAGCTGGCTTTGGTACAAACATGATCAACTGTTGGTTGCCGTTGTTGAGTGTGACGGAAGAGCTAAATCAGGGCTGATTCTCCCAATTACAAAAGTTGAAGCTGGAGAAACCAAGATCATTGCAATGATGAGAACGTTTACTGAAAATTATTCTCGACGAGCCCTTATCCATCTCCCTCTCCGTCCAAACATCAGCAGTCCAGACAGGGCAAGCAGGCACAGTTCCTGTTCAGTGTTATTCTGTGATTTGTTTTGTATTAACTTAAGGCAATCAAACTCAGTTATTAGTACTTCCACTTAATGCTTCTATACTGAGGGGGGGGTAAAATAATACAAGAAGGATACGTGTAGGTCTATTAATTCTGCCTTCACATAGTGTAAATACCAGGGTGTCATTTGTTAGTACTGAGAAGTTAATGTGTGGAAGGGAGAGGTCACCTTAAAGCCTGACTGAGATTTACAATACTGCAGTAGTGGCATAAATAAAAAAAAAAGCACAGTGAATCATCTGTATATGTGTGTGTTTACTGCTATGCTTATGTGAGCATACACCACTCGGGCTCTGCTGCAAAAGGCAGCTAATGGTTATTACTTACTATACATGATCACACCTATCGCCAGTTGAAATACTGTATTGTACATCAGGATTGAACAGCAGAATTCATTGGCTGCAGTTGATCAGTTGGTACCAGTGAGCTTGAGCTTTACAACTGGCATTTTACAAGAAAGCGTGCTGGTCTTTGATCCTTTTCATTGGAATGGAATCATCATAATAAGCATAATAATTAATCAGAATCATCATAATAATAATAACAACATTAAGAATATACAAATGATGGATACAGAAGTGATACAAAATACCCTACGTTAAAACAAACAAAAATGAAAACAAGATACCACAATCAGACATGCTTCAAAGCGGTTATGTTTGGCAAGAAAGCAGTTTTGTTGTATCATAAAAACCTCACAGTGAAAATAGTTATGCCCCTTCAGGATTACAAAGCACAGTATTCAGTCAAAATCAATATATATTTCTTTCCTTCATCTATTTCTTCTTCATAGAAGAATCAGGCTGTGTGGTTCCACTGCTTTGAAATCCGAGGTTTCCCCCCTGATGGCTCTGGAACAACTAGCTGATCCAAGTTCCTTCATTTCCATTTGCACTAACGAAAAAAAAAAGAAGGAAAAAAAGCTTCTCTGAAAGGGAAGGAGCAGTCGATGACAATATACTGTTACGGCTGAAACCAGCTGCACACTGGCTGCTCAAGCTCTGAGGAACCAATCTGACATGAAATGAGGATGATCCCACCTGGAGCTACTTCTACTCCTCAGAGAGTGGAGATAAAAATATAAATTTCAGATATCACCTTCTATTAACATCCTTAGTCGTCTTTAGTGATTTTGTTTAGAGGTTGAGGGCAATATCATAATTTAGAGTAAAAGTGATCAGCTCTTTGCTGCCTGAACGACAGACAAAATAAATAAATTTTACATATTTTATGAAAATGAAGCAGCCAGCAGTTGGGCAAAAAAAGACAGAGGGTTCAGGCCTCCTGCCTACAAAACAGAGGCGGTGATCATTGCTGACTTTAGCGAGAACATTTCAAACATGTCTTGCCTTGCTTTTAGTAAATACTTTAGTCTTTGGTCAATATATTCCTCCTCAGTTTATACATATATTCATACACACACAAATATGCATGTACATACACACTTATGAACGTGTAATAAACTGGATATTTGTGCACGTATGTATTCACACTTTTTCATAAAGGACCTTTTGCACAAAACATTGAGATCAAAATAAATAATTAATTCAGAAACAAAAGTATGAGTACCTGTTCATAATTCATGTGAAATAAAAATTACAGAAAAAAACAAAACAAAACACAAAGTAAAATAAAAAGTAGCCTTATGTACAGCGTTAATCTTCTTTTGACACAGGCTAAAAGGCGTTGTTTTAAATAAACAGACTTTGCATCTTTCAAGAAGCCTGAGAGAGAGGCTAGACATGAGAAAAACACTTGTCCTTCAACATGTACGTGGGCCAAAATGGCTGTCAAACGAGAACATTTTCCTCTCATCAAGAACACTTTCCTTTTGAAGTCTTAAAAGTTTTTTTCCTCTTTGCTTGGGATTCAAGTGATGGCGTCTCTAGTTTTTAGCCATTCGCTCGCACTGTGAGTCCTCGCTCAGTGGTGCTGTGTCCTTGCAGTGGGGCTCATCCCGGCATCTGCGGCTGCCATGGCTGCTAACTGTTGGGCGGTCCATCGTTCAGGAAGTAGGTTGTCATTTCCCCTTTACCTTTGACCTTAACCACCCCGCGACACTCCAGCACGTACCCTTTGTTTGCAAGTACTTGGTAGAGGTCTGTAGTCACCTGTGAGCGGAAAAGGGCATATTTATATTATTTATATGAAATATTTAGCCACATAATGCAAAATAATCACAATACAAATCATACATACATATTGATCCATTAAGGTATTCAGTATAAACTAGATGGCCATTTTATTTGGTACACCTGTACAGTCTAATGCAGTCCAATACTTTTTACTTTTATAATGCCACTGGTCATATTAAATTAAATGTTTTAGCACTG